ACACTAATTGCCAATGAATAGTAATAGAATTTAGTGGCTATTTGAGTCTCAGAAATGGATATCGCTGTACCAAATAAACATCAATGGTTATGTTGACTTTTAGAAACGTTTTTAAAAAACCAGAAATAGTTGCAGAGTTCACAAACCAAAGTTTCAAATAAACAATATTAGCTGCATGGACTCTCGTTCTCTTTCGACAGAAGGCAAGTAGTATAATTACAGTGTTAAGGCAGAGTGGGCAAGAATTTCCTTGGTAGCAAAATCTTTTCAGTCCTTTAATCTAGTTCAAAAGGCCAACTGCCACTGCCACTGACACTGCCAGACAGTCATAATGAAATAGTTTTATTGTCTACTGTTCTGCAAAAGTCATGTTTGGTCTTTCTTCTAACTTAATGACAAAATAGTATGTAATCACCAGAAGAACATTTAATTATGGAATATTTATATATTGATAATATTTTCATGCCCCTAATTATACTTGCTAAATGCTAATGCTATATTAAACGTATAAGCTAAACATGATAATAATGGGGCCGTGAATAGAAATTATATTTCATTAAAAGTCAAATTGTAGATAATTATGGCAACGTTTAGTCCCACCTAGTAAATTATAGTGAAGAAATAAATGGCTCTGACTGGGTTTTAATCTCTTATTAAAGACACGATGCCAAAAGATCGATAATCTTCTGGAAAAATTCTACATGGAATTGGATTTTCTATAAATACATCAATTTCTGCTACATTTCTCCAGAATTCTGCTATTTTATTGCTTGGCGAATGAAAACATTTACATAAACTTACTGATCATTATACCATGAAGTGAAGTCTGACTTATTATATTGTCAAAACTATTATTCATATCACAAGGAGGAATTGATATTCATCTAAAAGAAATATTATTCCGAACAGTGGGAGAAAAAATGACATACACTGTCAAATCTTATTTCAATATCACAAGGGGATTCAAATACGAAACCTGACATAAATATAACAAAACCATTTTTCATGTCACAGGGAGAAATCTCATATATACCTATCTAAACTCTTATTCAAATGGTAAGACGAAAACTGACATATACCTATCAAAACTATTATTCATATCACAAGGAGAAAACTGACATATACCTATCAAAACTATTATTCATATCACACCTATCAAAACTATTATTCTTATCACAAGGAGAAAACTGACATACCTATCAAAACTATTATTCAAATCACAAAAAGAAAACTGACATATACCTATCAAAACTATTATTCATATCACAAGGAGAAAACTGATATATACCTATCAAAACTATTATTCATATCACAAGGAGAAAACTGACATATACCTATCAAAACTAGTATTCAAATCACACCTATCAAAACTATTATTCTTATCACAAGGAGAAAACTGACATACCTATCAAAACTATTATTCAAATCACAAAAAGAAAACTGACATATACCTATCAAAACTATTATTCATATCACAAGGAGAAAACTGATATATACCTATCAAAACTATTATTCATATCACAAGGAGAAAACTGACATATACCTATCAAAACTATTATTCATATCACAAGGAGAAAACTGACATATACCTATCAAAACTATTATTCATATGACAGGGAGAAAACTGACATATACCTATCAAAACTATTATTCATATCACAGGGAGAAAACTGACATACCTATCAAAACTATTATTCATATCACAAGGAGAAAACTGACATAAACCTATCAAAACTATTATTCATATCACAAGAAGAAAACTGATATATACCTATCAAAACTATTATTCTTATCACAAGGAGAAAACTGACATATACCTATCAAAACTAGTATTTATATCACAAGGAGAAAACTGACATATACCTATCAAAACTATTATTCATATCACAGGGAGAAAACTGACATACCTATCAAAACTATTATTCATATCACAAGGAGAAAACTGACATAAACCTATCAAAACTATTATTCATATCACAAGAAGAAAACTGATATATACCTATCAAAACTATTATTCTTATCACAAGGAGAAAACTGACATATACCTATCAAAACTAGTATTTATATCACAAGAAGAAAACTGACATATTATACCTATCAAAACAGTTATTCATATCACAAGGAGAAAACTGACATATACCTATCAAAACTAGTATTTATATCACAAGGAGAAAACTGACATATTATACCTATCAAAACAGTTATTCATATCACAAGGAGAAAACTGACATATACCTATCAAAACTATTATTCATATCACAAGGAGAAACTGATATATACCCATCAAAACTATTATTCATATCACAAGGAGAAATCCGACTAAAATACAAACCAAAAAATATGCAATGACGAGCTAACATAACCGTCCCTTGTAGTTTGTTAAAGAGATATCAAGAACTACCTAGTCTGCGATATCAGTATCTGCTGGAAGCGTATGTTAACTTGTCATCTACCAACAAATATCTAGTCTGCGATATCAGCATCTGATAGAAGCGTGCGTTAACTTGTCATCTACCAACAAATACCTTGTCTACGATATCAGTATCTGCTTGAAGCGTGCGTTAACTTGTCGTCTACCAACAAATACTTAGTCTACGATATCAGTATCTGCTTGAAGCGTGCGTTAACTTGTCGTCTACCAACAAATACCTAGTCTACGATATCAGTATCTGCTTGAAGCGTGCGTTAACTTGTCGTCTACCAACTAATACCTAGTCTACGATATCAGCATCTGCTTGAAGCGTGCGTTAACTTGTCATCTACCAACAAATACCTAGTCTACGATATCAGTATCTGCTTGAAGCGTGCGTTAACTTGTCGTCTACCAACAAATACCTAGTCTACGATATCAGTATCTGCTTGAAGCGTGCGTTAACTTGTCGTCTACCAACAAATACCTATTCTACGATATCAGTATCTGCTTGAAGCGTGCGTTAACTTGTCGTCTACCAACTAATACCTAGTCTACGATATCAGCATCTGCTTGAAGCGTGCGTTAACTTGTCATCTACCAACAAATACCTAGTCTACGATATCAGTATCTGCTTGAAGCGTGCGTTAACTTGTCGTCTACCAACAAATACCTAGTCTACGATATCAGTATCTGCTAGAAGCGTGCGTTAACTTGTCATCTACCAACAAATACCTAGTCTACGATATCAGTATCTGCTTGAAGCGTGCGTTAACTTGTCGTCTACCAACAAATACCTAGTCTGCGATATCAGCATCTGCTAGAAGCGTGCGTTAACTTGTCATCTACCAACAAATACCTAGTCTACGATATCAGCATCTGCTAAAAGCGTACGTTAACTTTTCATCTACCAACTAATACCTAGTCTACGATATCAGCATCTGCTTGAAGCTTGCGTTAACTTGTCGTCTACCAACAAATACCTAGTCTGCGATATCAGCATCTGCTAGAAGCGTGCGTTAACTTGTCATCTACCAACAAATACCTAGTCTACATATCAGCATCTGCTAAAAGCGTACGTTAAGTTTTCATCTACCAACTAATACCTAGTCTACGATATCAGCATCTGCTTGAAGCGTGCGTTAACTTGTCGTCTACCAACTAACCAACCATCATGTACCAGACTATTTTAATCAAATTCACAAAATTTTATTTATTCTTTACAATGCAACGAAGTGTCATAGAATTACCATGATATTGCATCTGGTTTAAAAACCTTTTCAAATACAATTACATAACGTATTCCTCAGTAGACTTCACGTGGAAACCGATATTGGAATTTTCTCCTTATAACATGGCTAATTAGACTCGGGTAAAATGTTGGCGGGAAATGATGCTTGCTTCTCGGAGACTTGAGAATTGAGTAGAAATTGATTGCAATTTGGCGCCAAAAAACATCGTAATCTGAATCAACTTGACAAATATGTGACCCTGAACTATAATCGTCAATGTCATGACTTTACGTACTAATTGCTGAGTAATAGTGGTAATTAGAATTCAAGCCATTAATCATCTGTGAAAATGATTTCCATAAAGTAAGACAGACCCAATATGAAGATTTACACCTGCAGATCCCATACTTAAACCCACAATTTAAGAACCTGCGCCACATTAAGTGTTCGAGAATATTCTCAAAAGCACGATTCAAGTGTTTTGCATCTGCTTGTTTGATTTGCTGCCATTTTGTATCAATGTACTCACCCCAGGGGAATATGTGTCGTGACAAAACAGGTTTCGCTTTTCTAAACTCTCTGCTCTATTATTCTGTTCAATCTCGACCTTTCAAAAAGGAAACTGTATGACATATTAGCATGTGGAACAAAGGAAATGAGCACCAGCTATCTGAAAGTTTCAAATCATGTACATGGAAAAGAGAAAGGGACTTTACATGGATTAAATGATTGTATTTGGCCTCGGTTTGATAAATCCATTGTTTTTCAAGTGGCAATTACTATAACCTTCACAAGTAACCTTGCAAAACGTTTCTGGAAGAGACAGGCCACCTCCCCCTATCTCACCATCAAGAGGTTCCAGATGTTGTATTGTCAATATTCTGTGTTAAGATTGGTTAATGGCTACTCGAAGTTGCTAATGAACAATCTCTTCCAGTAATTAAATATGGAATATGGTCACTTCACAGTAAAAAAGTACTGAACATTGAAACTCCCACGAGCAGACTATTGATTAAGAGCACGTTTCTTTGATGTGTGTCAGCGTAGAGAGGTGTGGGGGTGGGGAACATGTGTCATTCTGGGACTGGGTGTGGCATATCATCATTTCTTTCAGAGAAACAACATTTCTTTCAGCGAATCAACATTTCTTTCAGAGAATCCACAATGTTATGAGTTACATCCATTCTGAAACTCAATAGCTGCATCTCAGTGCAAGAGGAACTTTCAACTTGGGTTCTTTGTCATTTAATAAGTGTAACCAATGTTGTACAATTTCATATATCTACTACTTTCCCATTCTGAGTATATGTATCATCTTTTCAGGGTTGATTCTGGATGAAAGTGAATCTGATTTAGAGAAAGCATTTAATTTTGCTCGAATGGTGATCAACAACGATGCTAGTTATCCCAGACAATCACCACGTGGCCATTATGGGCGACAACTCCTGATGGCGATGGTTGTGAATAAAACCACCATTGCTGATAATTATAAATTAGGCGCTGCAAGTAAGTAGAAAATATCCTTTACTAAGGAGACACTGGTATATAATTTATTTCATCGCAATAGAGCTCAATTTTAATTGGTTTACTTATTGCATTCCAAATTGTTTACCAGGCTCATCTAAAATGAAAGTACGATCTATCATGGTGCGGACGATTTTTCTCAAGTTTCTAAACTTAGATTTCGTTATAATAACCCACGGATAATCCGGAAATGATCGATGCTGCTGTGAGTTTTGGCCAGAGACCAGCTAGTAGAAAGTATTGTTGTCCTTGTAAAAACCTGTTGTTTCTTATTGTAATAGAACTAAATATGTTTTTAACATTTCTGTCAATCGAACACAGCCCAAATGATATTGATGTTGTTTATTTCAGTCTGTAACCTAGCCAATCAAGGTGTAGCTGCTATAATTGGTATCGGACACCCTGATTCTTATAATACCATACAGTCTTACAGCCACGCCTTAGAAATACCATATATTCTCGTAACTCCCGCTCGGTCTATACCAAACGATGTGTATCAATATGACGTCAGTTTGTGCCCGCCTTTTGCTGATGTCGTCATAGATTTGATTGACAGGTTACAATGGCCCAAGGTGTACTATATTTATGATTCCGATGACGGTAAGTAAATAGGTTCTTGAAAAAGCTGTTTTCTCCCTAGAAATTTCACATTACGACGTTTAGATTTGTCTCGCCTGTTCCTCTTTTAGGGACATGATTTTGTTCTAGTAATAAAAAGCAAAATAAAAATACAAAATATTATTCGTTTCGTCAGGAGGAAATTTGAAACAGGTTAGTGATATAATGTATTCTTTTAGTATCCTCCAGACCAAATCACTGAATCAGGATAAAAGCAGGTTTAATCATGTGTGTTAGCAATTTCCACGAAATACTCAATATACCTTCTCAAAAGCTAATAAATGTACATACAAAATATTTCCAGGTCTGTGGCGGCTACAGAAGGTCTATCAATATTTCCAACGAAGAAAATATGGTCCTATCGTAATTGATGCTTACCGAATCAAATCAGTAGCGAATTCGTACGAACAACTAAGACGACTGGATAACAAAGAGTTTGATATTAAAAGGATCGTGCTAGATTTATCTACTCCTGGTGCCTATAGAACCATCTTAGAGCAGGTAAAGTAACGCGTGTTTGTAGCTTTCAAAACACCTCGGAAATGGTATTTTGTCTTGTGAGGGTTCGCACAATCCACTTCGCAGCCGAATGAGCTATGCCACTGTTCATGAAGGCTCGCTGTCCTAGCAGGCAACCGACTGAGCAATGCCACTGTCCGAGCAGGCAACAATTCACTTCGCAACCGACTGAGCTATGCCACTATCCTAGCAGACAGCAATCCGCTTCGCATCCGACTGAGCTATGCCACTATCTTAGCAGACAACAATCCACTTCGAATCCGACTGAGCTATGCCACTATCTTAGCGGACAACAATTCACTTCACAAACGACTGAGTTATGCCACTGTCCTAGCAGACAGCAATCCACTTCGCATCCGACTGAGCTATGCTACTGTCTTAGCAGGCAGCAATCCACTTCGCAACCGACTGAGCTATGCCACTGTCCTATCAGACTGCAATCCTTTTCTCAACCGATGAATATTTAATGCTGGTACTTGATGCTGTGCCCTCCGCACAAACCCCAACCCTTCGAATGATATTGTTATTTATGACCTTTGACCTCAATATTCCAGGTGGTGGATATGGGAATGAACAGAGATAACTACCATTATATTTTAGCTGGGCTGGTAAGTCAAGATTTATTTTACTCTCGAGATAGAGTTCTTATAATTTGATTTTAAGCACAGGAAAATCTAAGACTAAGGGGCGTTATTTAACAGATCAAGGGAGACAACTATTGTGGAAAACCTCAATTTGAAATGGAAGTCTCTTTATTGTTATAGATACCATCACAGGCTGCTCAACTAGAGTAGGACAAATGAACAGTTTAGAGTTCGTGCATCATGTGATACACATATGAATATCGATGACTTCATTGCCAATCTCTCCTAGTATGGTTATATTTTGATTTTATATTTTGCTTATTAATTTTCCAGAACTTCGCTGACATATATTTAAAAAAAATTATTTTCTCTTTTATCGGAGATGTTTTACATGTGCTGACATCAATTTCGTTACAGGGTGCGGTAGATTTAAACGAATCTAATTTTTATGACATGTTTCTGTATGGTGGAGTAAATATCACCACGTTTGATACGATTGACAAGCGAAGCGAGATTTACAGACGCTGGAAAACTTTAGCCAGGAAATACAGTCAACAGTTTAAAGATCTGTACCCTTTTAAGGTAGGACGTTGTCTTGTGACTTCCAGAAGCTTTTTGCGTGTACATTGACCGGGTGTTTGGAAATTAGAGCCCCTTCCTCCACAACCTAGGCTAAAAATGGATGTGGACAAAAACTAAAGTGATTCTGAGCAGGTATTTATTAAAGTTTCCCTCTGGGTTTCTAAGATTTTCTGTGGCTTTCATCTGCCTCCTGTACCATAAGAATGCAGCCTGTGGTACAGGCAGATGGAAGCCACAGAAAATAATAGATACCCAGAGAGAAACTTGAATAAATATATTTTCTGTTTTATTTCTCATAACAAATCAGAGGGAAAGTCACTGTTGACCTGTAATTGAAACACCAGCTACAGGTCCACTATTGTGTCACGTAAAACACACCTGGCTCTGGTTTACTACTCTGGAAATTTACCAAACCACAGTATCTGGTTCTGTTTGTTTCAGACGGAAACATCGTTAATGGTAGATGCAGTAATGGTGGTACATGAAGCCATAACCAGTCTGTACACTCAAGACAAGCAGAGTAAACTGTTCCGTGCCAACAGAAGAACCTTGGATCGTCTACGGGTCCAGTGTCGAGCAGAGTCTATCAAGCCGTCTTATATAGGTCGGCATATTCTGGAAAAACTCTTACAGGTAAATCTTCCAAACGAACTTTAATATCACCACTACTATAATATTTTTACTCTTGATTTTTCCATGCTTTGGACGAAATTTTGATTAACGAAATTGTCTTGCTTGTACGTATTTTTATTAAATTATTTAGCAACCTTTAGATGAGGTTATAATTTTACTGATCAACATAGTGGCCTTTTGCTTGTATCTAACTTAGTTGTGAATCGTGTCTGGTCCGTACAGATCCATGCCAGTGAAATCCAACTTTGAATTGCTTTTATATGTGGAACATGGTGAAAAAGTGGGTAATTTTTGGAATGCCTTACAGTAGTGAATTTTAACAATTTCCAAAAAAATGTTCTTGCTTGTTCCTCTGTTGTTGTTTTATTCTCGTTAACAGGTGGAACTACAAGGGTTAACAGGACCAGTTGTTTTCAATGCTAAGGGTATCAGGAAAGATTATTCTTTAGATGTTATGAATATGGGATTTCAGGAGAGTTTTAAAAAGGTAAAAATTGGTATTTCGACCGAAATAACTTCATTAAAGCTACCGATAGTATTTCACCTGGTTATACACCGGAATAAAAATATGTTATTCGAAGGAAGTAATCTGTCTCTAAGCCCACAAATCTGGCCCTACCAGTTCTGTATGTTACGTTATATGTGGTAGTGATTTCGTCTGAAGAACAAGTACGGCCAGGGAAAACGATAATACATTAAGTGTTGGACGCCACAGGGACTAATTCAATATATCTGTAATCGTAACAATCTCCAATAAATACTTTCTGTTTCCAATGAAATGAATGGTGTTTATGTCCTACTTTCTACACGATGTGGGCTAATGGTTCTTTTTCAATGCGTGTTCTCTGTTGCACAATGTGATTGCAGAATGTCGTGCAATGTCTGGCATATGACCATTGTATTTGGTGTCCCAGTTTGACTATCAAATGAAGAATTACCCTCACCGAACACCGAAAATCTTCATCACTTTTTTCTCCCAATACATCTTACATAAACCTGGCTTTATTTTTGAAAGGTACAAACATGGAAGCCGAGAACATCAAAACATTTACCAGATTACTCGATTCACAGGAATAATACCGATCTGAGGAATCGAACACAACGAATAGCCACAGTATTAGTAAGTACATAAACTCATTACTCAGTACATTCAGAATGGACCTTGCAAGGTATAATCTTGTAATGACCCCAAGGATTAACCAATCTCTTCTCAATCTGAATCTTTCGGCTACCATTACCATTGGTATTATAAATTCAATTTGCATACATGTATACATACTGTTTTCTGCCTTTTATATCTATATTCCAGTGTACATCGATTGTATTTTTACAAACTGTTATTCACCTTGGCAATGTTGCATCAATGGATGATGGTTTTATTTCAGGAGAGTCCTTTCACCATGAGAAGGCAGAAACGAGATGGGGAACCTCCGGTCGGTCCTAACGGGCAATATGAAGGGTTCTGTGTGGATCTGATAGAGAAAGTGGCTGCTAAAGTCGGTTTTGATTATGTTATTCTTCCCAGCAATGATTATGGCAAGAAATTACCAAATGGATCGTGGACTGGAATGATTGGTGATCTTGTTCGGAAGGTAATTTACCATTTTAGAATTTCCAGATGACATCGTGAGTATGCATGGAATATTCTAGACAGAGATGTAGGACTGTTACACTCACCATTTCCTCGAAATCGTGGCTTTGTCGTTCATTCGCATCTCTTTGATTGTCTATCATATTTTATCTTTTGTCTTGTCACATATTCCACTCTAACTGACTAGAAGACAACCACATGTATAATTCAACGTCCGACTGAGCTCCAATCACTTATCTACCTCATTTATCACCCCACCTTACTTTTTTCTTCTGATATTTTTATTTACAGCAAAAAGACATTGCAGTGGCATCGTTAACTATAACAGAAGAACGGGAGAGAGCTGTAGATTTCTCCAAACCGTTCATGAGTACTGGTATCAGTATCATGATAAAAAAACCGGATAAACAGAAACCAGGTGTCTTCTCCTTTATGCAGCCGTTGGACATGACGGTCTGGAGTTGTATTGGTATTGGCTTCCTGGCCGTGAGCTTCGTGCTGTTCTTCGTGGGAAGATTCAGTCCGTATGAATGGAGTGGTGATGGCGATAAAGACGAAGAAGTGGCGAATACTTTCACAATATCTAATACTATGTGGTTTTCATTAGGGGCTTTGATGCAGCAGGGCTCTGATATATCCCCGAGGTTGGTTACTAAAAGGTTGACCTTAAGGTTATCCGAGGAATAAGTCTTTAGATCCCAATATGTAATTTTGTCTCAAAATGAGGAATGGGTTTATTACAAATGCAAATTCAAAGAATTGAACTGATATGAGAATTGGGGATTCTAAACGCATAACTGTTGGCTTGAAGAATTAAATACATATTGCGTTGATGATGAAGTAAAATGTATTTTCTCACATGTCTGACATAACACATACTATTTCAATGAGAATCACTGATAATAAAATGGTAATGTTTATTTCCCAACCCAAAACGTATAAAGACTTATTCCTGTGGCGGGAATATCTCATAAGATATTCCATAAAACGCCCAAGCACTCTTATCCTTTTAAATGTTATAAGAAAAGAAGCCGTAGTACCCATTTCTTACCTTACATATGCAAGATATTTTGACTTATTTGGGCAAAGCTCTGAAATATTGACAGGTCTTTTGTGTGGGGAAGTGAAAATTTCTTAAATTTAATGGCATTAGAACAAAGGCAATAGCTTATCACTAGATGGCGAATAACTTGGATTATATACCCTGAGAGTAATGGGTACTACGCCTTCAATAGTGCTTGTATTTGGTTAAATCAATGGATTCGTCCATATACTTTTATGATTTTACCAAAGGAGGCAACCTTGGGTACATACCAGATCCTGGATGCGTCACTTTTCCCTGTAGATTTATGATTTATTTTCTTGCCTTTGTCTCATTGAGTCATTACAGTTATTGACCAGCAGTAGGTCATTCTCCTGCCAATTATCCTACTGATATTTTCCGTGAGTGAGTCGCGCCATTACATCAGCAATTGGTCAACATTGGTCTCAACTTTTGTCCTGTTTTATTGCATGCCACATAAGTCTAATACTGTCATTTGTCTAACCCAAGACCTCATGGTTCTCTTGTATTAGGGCGGTATGCTTCTTACAATTCATCAAATGATCTAATTTCATAACAGCCATACCTTGAACGTGTTAAGTCTTCGAAAGCAATAAAGCTGTTGATATTGGAAGTATTTTCGATAAGAACAATGTTGCACAATGACCAGCAGTGTAAATGTGCTCTTGATATGCTTTCATTGATCCAAAATTCTTAAAAATAACAACTTCATTTCACACAACCAGGCCTGCCCCTGGTATATATCTAGTTTCTCTCTACAGATCTTTATCTGGAAGACTGATTGGCAGTGCTTGGTGGTTTTTTACCCTCATCATCATCTCGTCCTATACTGCCAACTTAGCTGCTTTTCTGACCATTGAGAAGATGTTGACTCCAATTGATTCAGCTGATGATTTGGTCAGACAAACTGATATTAAATATGGTACCAAGATGGAAGGCTCTTCCTGGGAATTTTTTGAGGTAGGTAAAAGGTGTTTCTAAAACGTGCCTCTGATAGCTTACGTCGAAGGAAGACCTCCTGGTAAATAGCCAATTGATGTGGGTCGACAAGAATAATGAATTTGCTCCGAATTCGCCTTGTGAGCTTTGAACAAATCAATATGCAATGATCGTTCTGCATCCGACTGGCATTCAAGATCGGAGCAAACTGTAGTAGCCTGTCCGATGTTTGACTGCAACCTGTTTTTAAAAATCGGATGACTGAAAATTGGGTTGGATAAACTTACTGTTTTCGCCTAACCGTTCTATCTTTCAGCAATCCCAAGTACAAACGTACAAACTGATGTATAAATACATGAAAGAGAACAAAGATGAAGTGTTATTTAAAAATGTACGAGATGGGGTGGAGAAAGTTAGATCTGGTAAAAATAAATACGCCTTTCTTTTGGAGTCCACCATGAATAATTATTATAACCAACGAGAACCATGTGATACTATCAGAGTAGGTGAAAATTTAGATAATAAAGGTTATGGTATAGCTACTCCTGTCGGCTACCCACACAGGTAAGTTACTAACGCACTAACTGACGCGGACACCCTGCTCTGTGATTCTATAAGTTGTCCCTAGTTCTAGCATCATACCAAATTGGAGAGTACAGGGCACTGAGCAAAATTGCAAACTGGCAAGGACACGGACATTAAACATTAGAATTTGAATGATACGGCATGATTAATCAGATAGAACCTGCGGTTTGATTTTAAATGAGGTTTGATATTGGTTGAATGTAGGTCCCTATTATCCTTGAACGTACCAAAATACCAAATGGGGGTTCGTTTTTTTCCAGGAAAAGATGTCTTCCTTAACCAACGAACGGCTGTTAGATATTTCTTTTTTTTATCAATAAGGGAACCCATCTTTAAAATATGTTATGCCCATTGTGATATGACTGTTTCCTTTACATGAAGTCAACTTGTATAATATGTTCCATTGCTGGATTGTGTCATGATTTCTTTTCTGCAGAGATGCCATCAATATAGCTGTATTGGAGTTACGTGAAGTTGGTGAACTCCACAAATTAGAACAGAAATGGTGGTATGATAAGGGTGAATGTGGTAATGCTGACGGTGGTAAGGTAAGAAAATTCATATAATATAAGACCCATGAATATACTATAAACTATACAGTAAACCTCTATAAACCACATCCCTTGAAATCCGACATAAGTCAACCAACAATTTCCTAAGTATCAACTGAATTACTATATAATCTGTAGAAGAAAATTCCCAATAGACAGGCAACACAAAGTGCACAACCTGTACTTTAATAGTTTGCTATGAGGAATCTCCGAAGACTCCGCGCAGTCAAAATAATTTTTATTAGCTATATGGACTCCTCAGTTGTGCTTTCGTTGATAAACATTATTGGCCGGGTAGACTTATCGAAAAAGGGGTGCTTTTGTTGACCCCGATCTCCGAACGTTATAATGTTAGCCACAATCGTTGTTGTGGGGCCCCAATGGGTCTAATTATTTCTAACTGGTCATTCGAGCTCCATTATTTCCGTTTCGTTTCAGGATGCGTCTCAAAGTGCTTTAACATTAAGTAACGTGTCTGGTATATTTCATATCCTAATCGGTGGACTGGTGTTAGCTATGATAACATCTTCACTGGAATACCTGATACAGAAGAAATTATACGCCAATAAAGCTAAGGTTTAGTATCATTCTGTGTCTATTTACAATACTTAGGGCAATAACGAGTTGGAGAAAGGACTGAAACAGATAGCAGATATTCCTGGGTATAAACTCCTGATAGAAAATATGTCATAGTCATAATGTTACAATTACAATTACAGTGTTCTTGGTGCAAAAGGGATTTTTTTTAAATATGTAATAATGATAAATCATACATGTCACTGTGTTATTTTTACGGATAAACATAACGTCTGAGTTTTATTATGATTATCTTTTTTAATCAATAAATAACTATAGATAGCTTTTGCAAATGTCTGACAATAACCACTGAATGTATCGAATTTCGAGATATTTAGCTCACATCTGTTTTTTATGTTTTATGTTTTATGATAAAGAATATGATTTTTATCTTTGCCTTTTTTCAGAAAATAGCTAAAAAGGCTAACAATGGTCCACAGCATCAGTCAGTTGACAACTGGAGAGTAAACAACAGAGATCACCATGTACCTCAACGTGGAGGGGCCTCATACTCACCGGAGCGAGAAAATGGGGGAGTGAGTACCAGATAAAGTAATTTGACAAACACTTTCACTTCAAGCATGGCATGGCAAGCTGGTGTGAAACATGGCAAGTTATTGTGTGGCATGGCATGGCAAGACAAACTGGTGTGTAGCATGGCAAGTTATTGTGTGGCATGGCAAGGCAATGTTTCGTGTTGCATGGCATGGTAAGTTATAGTGAAGCATGGCATGGCAATTTATTGCGAAGCATGGTGTGGCAAGTTATTGTGAAACATGGCGTGGCAAGTTATTGTGAATCATGGCATTGCAATGGTTCGTGTTGCATGGCATGACATTGTATTGTAAAGCATGATATGGCGAGTTATTGTGAAGCATGAAATGACATGGCATGGCAATTTGATGTGAAGCATTGCCCAGTTATGTATCTTGGAAATGCATTGCGAAACATGACGATCGGCAATGTTTTATAAAACATGGTATTAAAACGGCATGCTAATGCATTTAGACATTCCCGGGATTGCAATGTGTGTTCTGTTTTCAGATATTGAAACGACAATGTGTCTAGAAAAGAAACATGATGTAATAAGTATTAAAAGTATTGAATAGCATACTAACTTGGCATATTGACATTAAAAGAGTATACGTAAGCATCGCAGTATGCAGTTCTTGTGAATCATGACAATGTTTTGTGAAATGTTATAGGGCATGATTTTACTTGAAAAGTTTTGTGAAAAAATGTTTTGATAAGTATTTAAAGTATTGCATAGCAAATTATTTTGACACACTGGCAATAAAAAGGTAAAACGCGACAGTAGGCAGTTTTTCCCATAGCATGGCAATGTTTTGTGAAATGAAATGTGGCATGAATTTAAAAGCAAACAGGATAACAGGATCATTGTGCCTACGTATTACTTAGAAAGTTGCATTATTGATTTAAGTTTTTACACATACATTCTTCACGTCCATCGTATCATCTTTTATAAGGCAATCTAAACTCACAAAGAACAAATATCTAACGAATGACAATTTTATTTCATCCGAATATTTTGTGTATGGATGCCCAGGTTAAAAATCATCTTTACAACAAATGTCTTGAACATCTCGGTATAACGACCATGGTACTGTATCCCAATGGTGAATAAATGCTCTAACAATCCGGTCCAGTGTCCAAATTGTGCTTTCAGGTCAGTGGTGGAGCTCAACTTATTACTTTTGAACCTCATCAACAATCAGAGTCTACGGAAATTTAACGAGAATAGAAATTATGAAACACCTTAATCCTTCGTGTCCAACTTTTGGAATTGTTGCACTTATTTTCTACATTTAATCACCTTTGATACCAATATAATGTGAAAGGGGTGAATACTGGAACCAAAGGTCGTTAGTAAGATGTCTGCTTGGCTGTTGATATTATGAAACACTACTTTTTAAATTTCCGCTTGTGATATTCGCTAATTTCCTCCAGAGGTATTTGTTCCCCTGGTTCGGAGACGGGGATCCACGTTGATAAGTGACATTAAAACGGACCCAATACAAAACCGATTGAATAAATTTGGTGAAACGGGGCAAATATAGAGAAATCGACCTAACAAATGGATCCAAATTGCGATCAAAACACACTGAAGTGTTGGAATAACCAAACTAAAGAAGAATCATAGTGACCCCATTGTAGTTACCTATAAGGATTGTGTTCGGCGATGAATTACAGCGATGCACCATCAACGACGCAATGATCTATTCCATTTCTATATTGTTGATAGTTAAATTATAAACTATGTGGAATTGGGATACATTCTGTAACTTTTGTTAGTTCTTTTTTAACAGTGAGTTTCAATTGGCTATATTATAACGTCAACGGTCCATTTTTTTTTTCCTTTTTTTATACTAGGTAATATTTAATGCGATCTTGATAACCATCGAATCTATTGAACATTATTTTTCATAGTAAAATTGGAATGAACTCTGTGTAACTCTTCGCCTAACCCGGCATTGATTGATCGACTAATTTCTGTATTTAAAGTTTATATTTTCTTGAAGACTATGTTCTAAAGATCCTGCTGTGACCATTCTACTCTACAGCACAGTACAGTCACTGTTTTTTGTAATGCTTTTCTACAGATAAAAGAAAACTAAGAGCAAAAAGATCTCTCGGGTTCCAAATTTATACGATAGTGATTCATTGTTATGTTTTTGTTTTTATTTTGTGATTATTTTCTGCTGAAAATTATTGTAACTAATATTGTAAAGTCACTTTTTATAATTCTGCTTTTTTTAAAATAAACTTTTGAATTAATTGTGGTTGTGTGAATAAGAGAAAGTTCAATTGCTGATATCCCAGTTCTTGCATCAATAAAGACAATCTAGCCTTACTCAGCCACAGTACGGGAACAAACGTAACAAATGTTACCATAGAGACAGTGCCTGATCACCCTTCCAGAATACCTAATGCCACCCTACAAATCAGGTCGTCTGCTAAGCATCCCTTTCAGCAGTGGCGGTGCCATTGGGGGTACAGGAGAAATTGGGGGTGAGGGGGAGGGGGGGCATTATCCCATTATGAAATGGATTGCACCCCAACTTTATTTTTTTTTTATACGTTTTCATCTTAAAATATGTGTCAGAATGCACCAAATCAATTAGATATTTCTCTCAGAGATTCCGAGAGAGGCTTGCGACAAGACACCTCCACAGAGTTTTTGAACTTATCCTTGTCAGTTGTCCCCCCGCTGAGCCAGTCTGCCCTGTATTTGTATCCCCGGTTCACGTAGTTAACAATTTCCATTCGGTATATCAAAAAATAGAACTGTAATGAGGTAATATTTATATATTTAATATATTCTATATACAATATATTTTTATTGATACAATATTAGTCCGAATCTCTGAACCTTCACATATACAGGTAGTTATACTTTACTATACATCATATATAATAGAGATTCAAAACATAACTTGAGCAGCCTAATTTTTTGAGGGTAGAATTAATAGTAATTAAAGCTTTATATGTCAAGCAATGTTTAAGCTTTAACTACCTCAAACTACAGTGGACTGTCCATGTTAATGTTTCGAATCTGACTCAGATATGCCTGAATATCTTTGCTCGGCATGTTTGAAGAGATAAGATTTTCGGACTGAGGTGACCTGAGGAAAGATTTAACAAAATATTTAATAACAAAAAATAAATAGCACTTGAATAAATATTTACAAAAGGAAAATGGGACTAAGTGTGCTTATTATTACTCAAACACGAGTGTTGCTATATAACATTAGCTTAGCTTTATAATTATGTAGCTTTTTCTCGTCTTACTTTTCCGTTAAACGATTTTTTCGATTTACTTAATGTGAATCGAAATATAAGTTCAAAAGAGTACTAATAGTCTTTGATTGACGTTTCTTTGTCTCTGTCTCTGTCATATGAATAATCTCCAGTATCCTACTTTCGATTAATACTATCAATGTAGCACATGCGCACTCTCTCGAACTATATGATTTCACTTCGTGACTAGATCGACCATTGGGCACCCCTTTAGAAGAGAACTACCATATAATGTCTTTGTTTTTTGTTTAATCGTATGAAAGATCTTTCACCATTCGACTAGTGTTAATAATTCGACAGACATTTTGAAAGATTAACGTCTATTGGGACTTCTATCATCTATCTAAGAGTACTTTACACGATTACATCTCCGTTAGAATCATTTTGTTTGAAGAATAATTTATCGATCTCTTGACACAGTTCGTCTGCGTCCACGGTATAACTACCGGAAGTAGTTGATGTGTCATTATCACCACCCCACGTGACGTCACATTTAGAATCATCGCACGCAGACGATGAGTTAAAACTTTGGCTGATCGGTGCTGTCATTTCCATATAAATACTTTCTTCTTGCGGTTTCTTGTTGCCCGATGCTACATTATGTTTCCCGATGTACCGACCAGGTATTGTTCGCTGTTGATATCGTCCATCACGAATTGGTATCGTTGGGGAATTGTTGCTACTATAATTAGTTTGAAATCGGTCGGAATGAACCGTAGGTGATCCGTTTAACTGACGCTCAACATCCGGTGAAGGTGCATAGTTTCTGTTATCGTAATATGGTGGCGGTCGAGCTGGGGCAGTCCGACGAGTAGACTGTCTCACGAAACTTTGCCTTGAAGGTTGGGCGAAAAACATTTCTGAAATTAAAAATATACCAAGTTTAAAAATGTGCCAGTAAAGTAATTTTGTCATTGTGGGCGATATTTTAAAAACTGTGCAATTTTTAATAAATATACTAAGGGAGACAACTCTCAACCACAGTAAAGCAGTGAAACAGTAGGTCGATCTCTAGAATATAACCCAGAGTTAGATTATGATTCTTTGTATTGCTTAAAGCTGTCTATATTACAACAGCCAAAGTTCTTTCAGAATGATATACATACCTCTTGAGTCATGGGAAACCGTATGACTGGAAATTTCAACGTCACTTCCGCCACGCCCACTGTCGCTTATACTAACTTCACCAGAAGTAACACTTGTATTATCTCTCTCCTGTTAAAAAAACACAAAAATCATAAATATGATGTTAGAAAATGTAAGGGGATCCCCATTTTTCACCGATGACAATAAATAGATAGTTTTGGGATAGACCTTCATTGACGTCACTATTCTGACTATTATATATCAGTATTTCTTGATATTCAACATACCTCAACTAATTCATCATAGGACACGAGTCAAAATAAAATATATTAGCAATGACAAGTCTTCTAGCATATTTGTGGCAAGGCAAGACATCTGTCCACAGAATCTTGAGCTTTTCTTAACGTTTACTTCACACTGACTTAAACATCCGTTAGTGCGCGGTTGACAACAATACATCGCCAGTCTCACTGCATTTACCCTGTTTACATATAAGTAGCGTTAAACGACAGGGAATTATATAAACCATATGCACCCTGAATCCATGAACGAGAAAACATGCTGGCTGTACCAGGTAAAATATATAGTTAATATCGCATTATAATCGTAATGCAGGCCATCACCATCTTACTTATTAGATTATTAGACCATTAGTCAAGAGATCAAAGCCGTTTCTAAATGAATGAATTAAATGCATTAAGGTGCACCACCACCAAAACAGGCTATAGCACAAAAGGAAGGTAGGTCAAGGTATGTAATGAAAAGTTACAGAGCATCTGAGGTCTAAAAATGTGACTAATCGAACTTCAATGAAATATGAAGTAATTAGTTTAATTAAAGAAATAACTATATCATCATTAATTTATGCACAAATAGTCATCAATCATAACGGCCGCTTTACCCCTGACAAATGAACTCTGTGTTTGACAAGTAATGATTGGTTACTCTATATAGATGATTCATATGAGATATTTTACATTAGAACTCGAAAAGTACACCAAAAAACAAACGGCTCTCAGAAAGAGATGCTGAGGGGAAAATAAAGACTAGAACTAGTGACTATTACAATTCTTATTGTACTGGGGCTCAAATTGAAAATATTTTAAGGTCTCTTAGCTACTTAATCTAGATACTAGTAAACTTCGTAGTGTTTGGTTTGGTAATTTCTTTAAAACATTTTAGTCGAGATAAAGAAGTGTAAATAAGAAGTTAAATTTAAACAAAGACGTTTCGGCAATATTTCATCTCTTTTAAAGCGACAATAGGTATGATGAAATCTCATTAAAACTTTCTTTCATTGTCTAATGTTTCAATATTTTAATTTAACAAAACTTCAACAAAACTAAAGTCTCAAGCGATTGACCGACGTTAGATAGCCCAGAGGGACAAAATACTGTCAATTCAAAAAGATGTAACTAAAGACAAAGCGGTACGTCAAAGACGTGAGGATAAAATGAATTTTCTACCTCATTGAATGAAGAGCTTAAAAGGTGACGTCATGTTGTGGCTTTGTACAAATTTATAAGTTTACTCACGCATGAAACGCAAAAACAAACAAGGAACAAAACTCTTTTAAGAGTCAAGCTATTTCCATTCAATTTTCTTTTTCAAATCATCCAACCACATCTGGAGGTCAAAGACCTACACAATGATTTGATGGACTTTTAAAAAACTGAATAAGAGGAAAACACACAAAAAGAAAGGAAACTTACATTTATAATTGGTTTTTGATGATACAAATATGGTGAAAGTCCTTTAAACGGTGCTTCTATTTTACCAGTATTTTTCAACTGTCCATATAACATTTGCTGAAATATATCAAACGAATTAGTTTAAGAAAATTTTTGATTTATTGCAACAAGGAATTAATATTGTGATAATTCACTAGTAAGTTTCATGCCAAATAAATATGCGGTATAATCCCTCTTTGCAGAAAAGGAATCACGTGTTCCTGATACGAGTATATCCTAAAATCCCAGAGAAATATGAAAAATGATATATTTACCTCGTCATGCATCTGGTTGAAGAGAGTTTTTTCAACTTTATTAGATTTCAAGTCATCAGAATCGCCAGAGAGATTTCGATCGTCATCCAGCGAGAAGCTGACTTCCTTCTTCTTTACAGAGGAACCAGAGCTAACCGATTCACTGGACGTACTCTGAGAACACAAAGCACCACTGGTTTCAGAGGATTCAGAGCTATCCGTCTCATATTGCTTCATATTGGCAATAACCCTGCATTCTTCTTCTTTGGCGTTATAGATACGCTTTTGTTTATCGCGACGCCTGAGATAAAATATAATCACTACGACTACTAATCCGAGAATGACGGTGACGCAGACGATCACTGCGACTATAATGATGTTCTGCATACTCATCATTGAAGACTGTTCTTCCAGGAACTCATCATCGTGGTAGACTTGCACATACAGGTCGGCTATAGTGGATCTTCTAGGATCACCCATATCTCCTACTTTTAGTTTCAGGTGAAATATACCACCAGTGTGATGCCCAAAAGCATTTTTAATCAAAACTTCGCCAGTTTTGGGATGAACAGTGAAATGACTTGAGACGGTCTCATCTTGAAGATAATACACTAGATGACTGTTGACACCTTGGTCCATATCGTACGCCATGATGGCATAAAAGCCAGTATTTGCTTTTAAATTGTTGGGAATTGATACAGTATTATTTTCTTTATTCGGTATCAAGATGACTGGACTTTGATCATTGAGGTCTTTTACGATGACTACCACTTCTACTGTGCTACTGAGTGGATATTCGCCTTTATCTGTGGCTTCAACAACAAATCTGTAACGATCTTTGGTCTCTCTGTCCAACATGGCGGTAGTTTCGATAACACCATTAAAGGAACAAGAAAACGGTGTATCTGGGTCAATTGAGATCAGCTTGAACTCAATTTCAGCATTTCTGCCAAAGTCTTTGTCAAAAGCCTGAACTGTTCCAACTTTGTGGCCGGGTTTCAGATTCTCAAGAGCGTTGAAATAGAAAACAGTTTTGTTGAATTCAGGTCGCTTGTCGTTTTGATCTTCAAGAGCAATTTCTACTACTGCAGTTGATGTGAGTTTTGGGGCACCATCATCGTGGGCAGTAACTTGAAGCCTGATTACTGGCGTGATCTCACGATCGAGCTGCTTCACCACATATACTGATCCATTTGTTTCGATTTTAAAGGAATCCTTAAAATCTCCGACTAAAGCATAGGTTATCTTGGCGTTAGAACCAGCATCGTAATCCACGGCCTTAACAGTGCTGATATATCGTCCAATGAAGTTGTTCTCCATGATGGAAGCATAATACGTTTCTCGAGTGAACACAGGGCTGTTATCGTTCTCGTCCAATACCTTGATCTTGAACGCTACGGAACTGGTTAAAGGTGGGGTTCCAGCATCGTAGCATGTAACTGTTGCAGTATGTTCCGGTATATGTTCCCGATCTAGCTTTTTTGATAAGATAACTTTGTACTCGTTCACGTCCAGCTTGCTGATACTGATGAATTCGTGAGATATGGAACAATTTACGATTCCATTGAGTCCAGAATCAGGATCGTTAACTCCAATGTGAGCGACTGCTCGACCAATAGTCGAGGACTCGGAAACCTCCGCCGAACCACTAGAAGAGAATACATTCACGTTTATAATCGGGGGATTATTATCCGTGTCCAATACTCGGATGTTGATAGTCACCTGTGAAGTCAGTACTGGATTACCGTGATCCCTAGCCTCTGCAAGGATTTCGAAAACATCGCCTACGGACGTATTTAAAGGCATGGCTGTCTTTAACTCCCCAGTCAGTCGATTTAAACTAAATAATTTCAAAATACTTTCAGGTTGCCTGGGGCTAAAATAGTAGGAAATGTCCGCGTTAGAGCCAGTGTCTTTGTCCGAGGCGTTTAATTGAAGGATGAGTGCATCGACTGGAAGGGATTCTGACACGTTAAAGGGGTAAAACTGTTGGTGAAATTCGGGACTATTGTCGTTGACGTCTCCAACCATAACAGTTAGTGAAAGACTTCCAGTTTTAGGAGGATTAGCATTGTCTTTAGCGATCACTGTCAGTTGATACTCGGGGAAGATTTCGCGGTCAAGTTTTTTAATTAGTTTCAATGCTACTTCACTAAATCCTCCATTATTGTCTTTTACGGTAACTAGAGAAAACACATCCGATTTCGTTAAAATTTCGTAACTATGCACCGAATTATTCACATCCGTATCTTGATCGATGGCTTTTACAATCGGAAATGTTGTACCTACTACGGATCCCTCGGAAATCTGCAGCAAAAACTGGTCCGGAGAAAATTTGGGGGCATTGTCGTTTATATCCATTACTGATACAGTCACGGCAATTTTTCTGAAAAATGATCCAAGATTAGATTGCACAACCACTTCGAATTTTAAATCACATGTTACCATGAAGCTACATATGGATTCCCTGTCTATCAACTGTGACGTCATCAAGTCACCACTAAGCTCGTCTGCTATGAATAACGAACTGTCTGTATTTCCTTTCGTTAATAAACTGAATTTCAAATTTTTAATGTCTGTCACACTTTCATGCAGGTTCAAATCTTTGGCAATGTTTCCTATGAGAGTTTTAGAAGCTTGTTCTTCGAATATTTCGTATTTCAGCTGCGCATTGTTCAGTGCCTCCGTTCTGGCAAGTGACGTCATCAACACGAATATCACTACGTCATACATCTTCAACCTCGATTTCAATTTCATTTCCGGAAAATTCGTAACATTGAAAGTCTTTACTCTTGATACCAATTTCTGAAAAAATAACCAAATGATAGGTGTTAAATACGAAAAGGAAATACGAAAGGCTCAAAATCATAAATTAGTACATACTTCAAAGTTTAAGACCGAAAATACTTCCACAAACGATGAATCGTCGCCTTTGTTTGTTTGAAAAAAAAAATGAAATTATTCAAAGGCCATGTAAATATAGTTTGCTTGGCCGAAACTCTCGTTGAATTTTGGGCATAAACTTCAGCAATATATAAGTTGAACCTCGTATAAGTGAACACCCTATTTATTAAAACTTTACTTTTCCTACAATAACTCTACGAAATAAATTCCTTAATATAAAGCACCTTGTAGTTTAATCAGCTGTTATCCTAACAATAGCCGTTCATATGATGCGAACCAAGTCCTATATGCAGCCGAAGTCATTGCAACCACATGTAGCTACCACCCAAGTCCATAAGATAACAATAACCATCCTGTCCAATTACAAAACCATAAAATTACATCTGCGCCCAGCAATTAAACAATTATAGAGTTACTGCCCTTTATTGTGGGTAATTTGTTCCTCCAATAAACCTGATTTTAATCGAAGAATAATTGATAAAGATTGAATCGGGTTGTAGGGTAAAATAATCTAACATCCTTGGGGCCTATCAGTCCAATATGAGATCAGTTAGTTGTCCAATTACTGATCAAATCGTTCAGTGGTTTACCTTTATTTTCTCAAATTAAAAATATAAACTTCTTTTGGTGAAATACCGAATAGTTCTTATGACTTTATCAGATAGCTAGTAGCAAGGTGGTGATTACAGGTCTGTGAGATACAACATGGCAATAACTAGATTGTTCATTGAGTATACGATTGGGAAAACAGTATATAGGGCAGTAATATGACCACAGAAAACTGTCGAGTACGTTGTCTGCTAGATGGACACTGTTCTTATTGTTTTATCAGCTCCCTAACATTAAGGTGGTGATTACAGGTCGGTGTATTACAACATGGGTAAATAGTTCATCTATACCATTTGAAAATAACGGCATACTATATGGTTGTATCAACCACAACTATCATAGTACCAATCATGTGCTGGCAGTTAATTTGCTAGATGGACACAGTAATCCCTTACCTTGTTGTAGCTCAATAGATACGATATGCTCACCCTAACGCGAATCCCAGAACTAAGAGTACTACGAGTACACTTTTGCCAACTCTCCAAACCTTGCATTATAAGATTGTCATCTGTAAATGTGTGTCAATATGTCTTGCTAACAATAACTTAACACTTTAAATAATTTTTGTTAGACTGATGTTATGATATCCAAAAGAAATGTGTTTCCCCTACCTCCAATCACTTCTGTGTACAAAAATATCAAGAGACCAACGAAAGGTGCATTGACTCTCTTCCTGTAACCCTTCTCGTTTGTTAATGAGCAAACTATTACAGAGTGTTCTTTTTAAATCTAAAACATCGTCATTTTAACGGATTAAATCACTAATTTTCTTATCCGTAATCGAATTCGTTTTAACGAATATCGGAACCTTTTAATAATTTATATTCTGTCTCCTGAGGGATTTCGGTCCTTTTGACTAATTTTCATCAATTAGGACAGATATGTTAATCAAATTTTCAGACTGTCGTTGTTCATTTTGATTCTTATAACACTGGGATTAGGAGGGTGACGGAACGCAAATGGGTTAAAGAAAACTAGACACCGCTAATCTCGTTACAGATTGTCCTAATCTGGTTTTTAGACAGATTTTAATTGGTGTTAAGAGCCGACATTGGTTAACCTCCGAAAGCAATGGCCGCTGAATCCTAAGGACAAATTAAAGTTTAAATTCTAAATTTGGTTTATAAAGAAAACTCTATCTAAATATCTACTTTAAAACTGAACCTTTTCACAGAGGGGACTTAAACCCTTTAATCCTGAATTGATCGGGTGTTTATTCCCTCAGTAGGGGAAACGCAACAGTTTTAATTTCAGTTCATATCTTGAATAGTTTAATGCAATTGAACGTGGGAATTGTCATTACTTAGCATTTTGAATGAATCTTGCCCAACCATCCCTCCTCTACCACCAACACTGTCTGAATGTACTGTTTGTACATAAATTATCATCAGCTTATTGCATTTAAGAAACGTCACAAACAAAATCTGAAATGCTGTTATAGAGTTATAAAAGTGTTTTACAGCAAAATGTGACGTTACAAAAGCGTCACGCAAAGTGTGACAGGAAGCGTCACACTATTAGTAACATTGCGTCATTGCAATAAAAAATACATCGGAAACATAAAATTTACAAAATTAAAAGTTGACAACTGATTGGACAATTATTAGAGAAATAGGTGCAGGTAGAAACTGATTGTCAATGGTGTGATTTATCTCTAGATTTTAAGAGAATGTGACATGTGATATCTAACACGAAAACAGCTGAAATCGACATTAAAACTTCACAAAATTATCATAAAATATTAACAGTTTTTATTGAACATTATTAGGTATTAAACTACAACAAAATCATAAAGAGGACTGACATTTAATTTCCAAAATCATTTTTAAAATCAAAGGTAAAATCGACATAACGGGGCCAAATACAACATTATTCAAACCGAAGGAAAATCGACATAGAGGCCCAAAGCATATTCAAATTCTGTGGTAGACAACATAATCTGGACATACCTTAAGAGTGGGACTAGCATGTATTGTTTCAAATGATATCCTTCCCGATTTAAAAACTTAGCGACTCCCTGAGAGGTCTCTCTGAAAGGGATGCCAGTTGCAGAATAACACCGGGTGTTTCCTTAGAGTGTGCACACCCTTCCACCACATTATACATTATATTTTTTTCTGCACATAACTGGATTTTCTCCTCGGCCTATGCTATTGTAATTTCAATTATGTATGGTTTTTACAACAACTTTCCTATCAGTATTTATTCTAGTGGAGCTCAGAATTCAGACCTTTTTTTAAGGTGTTTTATTTTTTGTCATATGATGTTAAAAAAATGAAAGCTGCAGAAGATTAAAAAATATAATTTTTGGATTTATTTCCTGAATTCCTGATTTTGCATTAAAAAGTTATACCTTAAAATAATTCCTTATTTTCATAATGGTAGATTTTACAATCGAAACACTTGTATAAGGCGACATACCTCTTACTATAAACATGACATTATCAAAACATTTTCTGACAAATCAAATAACAGTATCGCTCTTATTTTCTCAAATCAAATGTCTGATGAGATTCGTTTCCGAAACCTATGTGAGCTTCAATTTTAATAGAATTACTTACTTTTTCAGTGTTTATTTCTCCTTGGCTGTTGATATTATGAAATTTTATTTTTGTTACCAGCTATATATCCAAATAACACAAAGTAACACTTGTCAAAAATTCTCAGCTTGTTCGAAACTTAATTTTCAATTCAAAATTTCCAATATCCTAGAAAATGACACATGGCACAGATACAGGTAGCTTGGTAATCAATGATAGCTGATTCAAGGTGGTTGATTTAATTGACATATTACTCCAAAATATGTAAGAGTGGCAGATGCTACGATCGCCAATTGACCAATCAAAATGTGTGATTGAGACATCAGGGGGTCGACCAATTAAAACACACATATTGCATCACGTGTCATAATTTTTGAAGGTATCAACCAATGAGATTGTTAGAAATGCATCACGTGATGTTCATAACAAAATGTTTATTCAAAGGTATTCAAAATGTCGCTGGACATTGATCTCGTGTTAATCTTTGCACTGTGCTTAATGAGGCGTGATATTTGAATGTCTTCCGTGTTAATCGAGGCTACGGTTGACTGACTTGACGACCCTGTCGTGTCGATAGCCAATAAATCAATCCATCATACTAAGATATATATCTTTGAGACATGATAGCTCATTATGATAATATTCAGAATATTTATGAATAAAAACTTTCAGTAAACATGCATTGTGAACAATAAACACTGATCGGGAGATTTCATTCCATTCAATCAGTGGCTTAAAACATATTCTTCCTTAAGTCTTGTATCTTTTATAAATCTAATGTCGTATTTATATCGAAAATCAGAGATCATAAACTGTACTCGTCTATGTATTTTTGTTTATCCCCAACTATCTCTTATAACTATCTCTAGAAAATAATTGCCTGCTTATACAACAAATTCATCCAAAGACTGTATACCTTTATTTGTGTCTTTATTATCATATCTATCAGAAATCAGAAAAACATAATACTTCCCACCCTCTCTTAACATATTTTACTAATTATACACTTTTTAATAATTCGCACAATTCATAATTGAAATAAAGAATTAATAAATATATAAATCCACATTTTCCACAAACGAAATTGACAATTATTCGGCTTTTATATAAAGAAAATAATCGTATATCTTAATAATAATGAAGATGATATTTTTTGTTAATTTACAAAACAGAATTGTTTATCAACACATTTTAGTGAAAAAATATATTTTTGATTTACAAACAAAAGTATAAATTTGATATCAATCTACAAGATTGTCAATATCATTTTGAGTTTTCATTCATTGGTTGTGTCCGATTAAAGTTTTCTATTGTTCGATTGTTGTAATGAGGGTATGATCTATGTTACAGAGCATTAGAAACTCTTATTTGAAGATAAGAAGATGGAACAGTAAAAACTAAGTCTAATATTCCAGAAATAGGATTCCGATTGTTGATAGAATCAAAAGCATTATCAGACCCCAAACCTTTCTGGTCGTATGGCTTGATTGATCTTCGATCAGGAACAAATAAGAAGAGCACCATTTTTGAGGATTATTGTAATAATGAGGCATGCACAATTTAGTCTTTCAGAGCATCAATCGCTTGAAGCTAGCGTTT